AATCACTCATAGTTATTGCTTCAAGGCAAACATGGAAATATGTTGTTTGGCTGGTTGTGTGTGTGCGCGCGTGTGTGTATGGCTATGACAACAGCACAGAGAAAAGCAGCATGAATGATTAATGCAAGATGAGTTAGTTTTAAATTTTGACATGTGAACTACATTCCCCTTTCAGCTAATGCCCTTCATCACTTAAGATTCTTAAAATATTAGTATTTTTAAAAGATTCTACAATTTAAAGTAGTTTGATTTGTCATTAACAAAATGGAAAGTCCAAGTGTGCATTCTGTGTGAGAAGCCAAGCACTACAGGAGGCCCTGCTGGCATGGAGGCCTCAAGCAGCAGGTTTGTTTATCAATGAAGCTTCAGTAGAAGTATAAAACTAAAAAAGTTGATTTGTTTTTTTTTTACATGTTAGTTTAGAGATGAAAAGTACTTCATAAAAACAATCATGAGTTTTGTAAATGCTAATTATCCTATGTAGAATAGGTGAAAACTAAGTCAAATTAAAGCATTTTCTGTCTTTAATAACGTTTGTTAAAAGTGAAAAACAACTGAGAATAATATTCCATGACTTTATCTTAAATTTATTAGATGTATAAAATGTGACAACCAACACCAAATGAGCTCTTGAAGAGTTTGCAGACCGTTGCTTTGGCGTTGCCTGAAACTACTCTGGGTTTACAGCAATTGTGTCCTTCTAATGCCTGCTGATGCATGTTTCCCACATATACCGTTTCATATCGGAAATATTTTTGCAATAATCTAGCAGCTCGAGTTATTCCTGGTCTGTTGTGTTACATTCAAATGAACAACCTCTGCTTAATTTAGCATCTGCAAGGGTTAAGTTGGGTTAGCCACATACTACTACATAGCTTTGGCTTGCTAATAAAACATGACTCCAGCTATAGCTGGTGACTGCCTTTAGGGCTTTAATAATTGTCTAATTTTTAAATTTATAATTTTGTGTGAGCATGAAAAAAATAATCTGACGTGAAAATTACAATAAAGATAGATACCCTTTCACCTCAAAGTAGGCTATTAAGAACTTTTGTGAAATCTATTCAAAGATTGCAAACAAATCGTCATGTTTTCCAAAGTAACAGTGAGTTTAGTTCACTGCCTGAAATAGCAGCAATAAACCTTTTTATGTGGTCAAAAACATTAGTCATTTAATAAATCATATAAAATGTGTTGCAAAGAAGGGCAAAAATATGAACATAAGTAAGCAAAACAAGTTATTATCTAAGAGCTTAGTGACAGAATTGGTATATAGTTTAATATAAAAACTTATAGTACAACCATCCTATATCTGTGGTTGATACAAGTATTTGAGCATATTACCCAAATATTCAGTCATGCATAGTAAAGTATAAATGCAAAACACTGTAAGAATTAAAATGTAAGTGTACCGTAATATACCCAAAAGACAGGCTTTACCATAGTCTGCATGATAAACACTGAGTAGTTGTCAGCGACTTGGTGTAAATTAGAGCAGCTCCAATTCGCTGTGTTGCAGCTATAAACTTTGGAAATTGCGCCTGCTGGAGAACATGTAATGAACTGCACATCTGCATCTGCTAAATGCAATCAGCACAGCTCCTCTGGAGAATATTCAACATGCAATAGTAGTTTTCACAGCCCTGCACATATTTAGACCTTGTCAACAGTATTAGGTTGTTTTTACAAATACGTATGTGCACCAAAGGAAAAAGTCCAAACAGCTACTTAAGACCTTATGTTTTTAATTCCCTGATACCGCAGATTAAAAAAAAAGGGCCCAAATATTTGCCACTCACAATCAAAGGAGGGAAGGACAGATGATAATGTGACCTGAAAGATCTCTTGACACTCCCCTGAATCATCTGTTGTGACAGGCCTATCGAGGGTTTGATGTACTCACTTCAGCAAAGCGTAAATCTCTGCTGATGAGCCTTTTGCCACAAACCACGGATAAAAACAAACCGGGTAAACCAAACTGACTCAACACCAACAGAACGCAGCCCAGCATCTCGGTACTTGAAGATAAGTTTGTTACAGAGGGGGAGACTTTTGAGGCGCTATAATGCCAGTAGTGAATCCCTTTTTGTTTTAACCTGCACCATGGTGCATACAGAGACGTGGATCTTTGACATTTCCTTTTTAAACAGTTTCTTTAAATTGTACCGAGTACTGGGTCTTCTCATCTTTCCAGGTCAGAAAATTTCCCAAAGCAATTAGATCTGAAGACTGAGATGGCTCTGGAAGGATTTGAAGTCGTATCTGTGTCGATTTAACCATGTGTTTTAAATCATCGTCCAAAGGGATCTCCCAGTTTTCTGGTGGAGTCCATGTTGCCACACGCCTCAGGATATTTTGGAGGTAATATAGACACAAAACCACCAGGAGTATTCCTTGTCCCAGTTGAAATCCTTGTTGAGTTTATCAAATTTCACATTTATATTTGTAATGGTAGGGCATTACACGTGCAGAAGAGGCTTTTTCTGAGTACGCCTTCTAAACAGCAACACATAGCATGTACAGAGAGTGGCTATTTGTTGTTACAGAGACTTTGGTAACCCAAGATGCCATTGTCTGCTGTATTTTCTGCAGTGAACATTGGATTTCTTTCATCTTCTTTATGATCCTGCTCACTCTATTGTAGAAAGATAATCTAGTTGGGTCCTGGTCCAGTAGGCTGGTGTGTCCAGTCACATGTATTCATTAAGTGAACAGAATTGCTTGTATTACCAATTAGAAGTTAAAACTTTGATAGATCTAAAAAGAAAAAAAAACACAAACAAACATTTCAAAGAGAAAGTTTTGGTACCAGTAATTGGGCCTCCTGGGATTTTGAAAAATAAAAAATCTTAAAATTAAATTTTTCTACTTACTATGTGATGCGACAGACTGGCGACCTGTCCAGGGTGTACCCCGCCTCTCGCCCGGAACGTTAGCTGGAGATAGGCACCAGCATCCCTCCCGACCCCACTGAGGGACAAGGGTGTTCAGAAAATGGATGGATGGATGGATGGATACTTACTATGTGAATGTACTCATATTAAAAGTTGGATTTTTTTCAGAGTGTATGGGAGGGTTGCTATGCTGCTCAAAAAAAGATGAATTCATTTGAATAAATTCCAAGTCCTTCTTTACCAAAGGCACCAACAAACTTATACACACACCCTCAACTATCTTTTTAAATCAAACAGTGTTTCGGCTTAAGGTAAATTAGAAATTCCTTACAACCATTTTAAATGAAACATTGCATATTTTTAATTTAAAAATAACTCCAGGGTCATTACTTTCATTGATTCAGGTTCAGTCAAACTTGCTGCCTCTAGTGGTAGTCACTGGTAGTGACGTAGGGAGTGATCAGAGCTACATGTGCAGCCCACCGGATTATGTCCCAACCCAAAGCCAAGCTGACCTCTGACCTTAAAGGCCAGAGAAGACACACGTTAGGTGATAAGTGAAGCACAAGCCCCATTGTGCAGAAAGTCCCCCTGTCCATTTATTGACTTCCTAAAGGATCCATTATGGAGGTGATTTACGAGATCTACGGCCCGCACCCCAGCAGGCGCTTCTGAGGCCGACGGCTCTCTGACTGCTCCATTCAGAGCACATCTGCGCCAATGGAGGCAGCATTTGATTTATCAGAGAATGGACGGAAGCTGGGCCACACCACCCCGAGTGTTTGTTCAAAGCCAACATGAATTTAGGAAGCAAACATGAATGCAAGGTGTCAGCAAAAGGGTCAGAGACAAAAGGTATAGACGAACTCCCTCACTGAGCATTGGCAGCAAGTCACTAAGTCTTTGAAAATATACTCTCAGATGGGCAAAAGGGGCAGAATTTTACAAAAAAAGAGAGAAAACTTTTAGAATGAGAAACCCAATAAATTCTTAAATCTGCGTTGTATTTTCTGTGACAGAAGCGGCTCAACAAAAAATCTCGTCTGCCAAATGATGTCGTCCTTCCTCTGTTTCCTGGTGGTTTCTCGCTGCACAGCAAAAACACAGAATCTCACCAAGTGTTTTTGGTCCAGTAGTTCATAGTGCACATATCCCAGGACCCTTGAAATAAGACAAAGCTGACTTACAAGTAACTTTTCAGGTAGATTTAGGATCTTGTTTTGAGTCAACAATTCCTTAATTTTGATGAAAAAGCAATAGTTCCACTAGCCGGTTATTTCACTTCTAACATGGGAAAAATGTCTTGATATAAGTGAAATAATCTCCCAAAGGAACTTTTTCAACAGTATTAAAGAATTACTGACTTAAAACAAGCTCCTATATAGTCAAAAAGTAGTACTTCAAGTGTATTTTTATATTTGTACTAGAAACACATATAGAACTGATTAAAATCACTAAACTGAACACATCAACTAGATTTAATCATATTTTCAAATTTATTGGTATTTATTGATCCTCTCACTGAACAAGAACTAAAATAATCCTGCCAATACAGACAGTTTTTTTTTTTTTTTTTTTTTAAACAATTTGTAATTTATTGTGTCCTTTGGACCTTGTTCATTTATTTACTCCAGAAAAGACATCCACAGTTGGCCAACTTGCATAAAAACCCCTCAGTCTGGTAGATCCATTACACTTAGTCGCGTTTCCTTTATCTACGCCTCGCAACAAAAGTAGATTTAACAAGTAGATCGCTCTGAACTGATAACTGAGACACCCAGTAAAGCAGCCCTCCCTCTGGTGAGCTTTGTTTGACTAATACAGCCCAGGTCAGGCTGGAAGCTGGAAGAATAACAACTCAGGATTACAAAGCTGCTCAGGTGCGCCATACACCTCAAACTCATGTCCACTGGAGCAAAGCTTCCATCTGATAAGTCAACACAATCACATAGCTGCACAGCACCGAGTTAGGCTTCAGCAAATAGGAGGCTGAGGAGCTGGTGAATTAAACCTTTTGAGTTATCAAAACGCACTAAGATGCAACAGAAAAAAGCAGCTCTTTAAACTGAAAGTGTTCAGAAAAAGGAAATGGATGAAAAATAAAAGGCTGGTTTTAGGAGTTCTTTAATCTGCACTTTGGTATAAATATTACACCAGTGTTACAAACTATTCTTTATTTCTTGTTTGATCATTTTGTGATTTTAGACTGTCATACTTTTTTTCATCTTGTATGGAAAATTGGAAAATTGGCTTTTCCCTTTACAAAATCATAGTAAAGATTAGCATAGAAAAAACATTTAAAATTCTAATGTAAAAAAATGCTAATGTAAACTTTTGAACGTAGTAGCTCTGTGTCGTGTAAGCGGGCATGGGCCGGTTACTGGCATCAAAGTATAAGAGTTTTAAGAAGTTTAAAAGAGTTAATGGGATACAACAATTAGTCTTTTCTAGACCAACACCAGTATCTGGTATTGTTAGGGATCTGACTGGTCAATTTGAATTTTTATCAATTTCAATGTAATTCAGAAAAAGATTTAAAAAATTTGCAGGTGTTTTGATAAAGAAAAGTACATGAAACAATTAATAGAGATTATGATATTCATGCATTAAATTATGATTTTTCTTCTCAAAATTGAATCTATGGATCAAAAAAATGATTGTCGCCTGTACTATTAATGTATTTACTCAACAGAAAAAATGCACAAAAAATGTAACGGTATTTGAACAAGTAATTACTGAATTACACAACTCCAATCTCATGAACCACTCATAGGTGCAGCTGTAATTTAAACACCTTTTAATGACATAGCAGGAAACAGGAGGGAGCAACTTTAAGTTTTGGAATGACACCATCTGTTAACGCCTCGTCTCCGCTGTTAAAGCTGAAAGAAGCGTAAAAACATTTTCCATAATCCTGGTTAAAAAAACAGGATTATGGAAATTAAAGGAATCCCACTTATGTCTTGCTACATGTAAAATTACAGCTAGCAAGCTACAAGCAGCTTGTCTGTCAAGCAGTTGGCTGCAGGTTAGGTACAGCAGCAGATAGCCTTGCTAATTAACCCAGTAAAATCAATAACTAAATTTAGAAGGGATTATCTCAAAATATCCAGGTAAGGCTATCAAAATGAACGTAACTCTTTTTGTAGCTTTTTTTAAACAATATATTTGAGCAGAAGTAGGAATAATTGTTGCTTTTCTCATTTTAAAACAGAAAAGCAAACTACGTTCTGTTTTTTTTGTTCCTCAGCGTTCTCAAGCTGAGAGAATCTGACACCGGTCCACGCCAAGAGTCAAAGCGGGTCACTATAAAACTATAAAACTAAAAGCAGAGGGTATTTTGATTTCAGTCTGCAGACTGAAACCCGGAGAGCTCAGAGAGTCAGCATGTGTCGGCATTCTGGTTGTAAATGGACCACAGGCTGACGCGCTGGTCCTTGGACCCAGCAGCCAGCAGTCTTTGCCTGGGTTCCTGGTGATCAGAGAAGGCCACGCTGAGCACCATGTCCGTGTGGTACTGAAGGACCGCCAGCGGCCGCAACTTCTTCCAGCCGAACACTCGCACTCGGTGGTCCCAGCCCGCGGATGCCAGCAGCCGCCCGTCGCCCCTGACGCAGAGCTGAGAAACGCCGGGATTGACCAACGTCACGTAGTCCTGGAGCTGCAAAACCACAGAGACAAAGGCCTTCAGCAAACAGTTTGCTTGAATAGAATGAGAAATATTTGCATTTGCAGCACCTCCGTGTGTTTGAAGAGTACATTAACAAGTAGTTTCTTTGAGGAGACCGTCTGATCAGAATAAAACCAAACAAACCGAGAATTTGAGGACGAAAAGCAAAAGTAAACAGAAAACACACATTAGTAAGATAAAAATTAGGTCAATAAATCACTAAGTCACTTCGCTCCAGGGAAAGCGTGGCCAACGAAAACACACACACCGAGATGCTATCAGCTGATACGATGACGGAGGTCCAGGCGCGAGGGCTGGAGGTCTGTTGAACCTGGCCGTAAACTCCCAGGACTCAATCATCGGCCATAAAACATTACGGCGCGAGAGCCCCGAGGAAATCTCTCAGAGTCCCACTATTTGCTTTGGAGTTAGCGCTGCTGGGTTGGGGCGCAGGAGGGAACTGGGGGTGGGGAAACTGAGTTACCTGTGTCACTGCGAAAAGAAAAAAAAAATAGTAGAAGACCTTTCACTGAAAAACTCATTTGCAGAAACTCAGCTGCTTCAAGCGTCTCTGATGAATTACGTTCTGGTCAGCAGGTGAAGACTGCTGATGAATACGCTGGTGTAGCTTCTGCCTGCTAAAGATTAGCCACAGCCCCCCCTCGTCTCCCGCGCCATCTCCCTGTGATCTACTGTCCCAAGGACTGTATCAATCTCTCTAAAAGGGCAACTTTCTGACATATTATAACGAATGACTCAGATCGGTATCTGGAGGGCCTGCTGTGGCGGGGCATTCCTGCAGAGAGAACGTGCTCTTTCTGCAGCGCGGGGATATCTGCCGGATCGCTACATGGGCTGCGAACATCTGGACGTGGGAGCAGAAATCAAACTGGACAGCGTAAAATTGACTTCATAAGTTGCGTCTGGGGAGACTAATGAGCCTTGGATGGGAGGAGATGTTGGGAGAATGTATCTGCATGCGCGCTCCCGTTCTGGGCAGGAACCCGTCCGCAAGCTGCATGTGGGAGATATAAGCCAGGTACAAGATGTGAATCAAGAGGAATGCGAGAGGGAGAGAGAGAGAACAGAGAGAGGAATGTCATTGATCATAGAAAAAAGAAAAAAAGAAAGAAGTTCAAAACAGTTAGTGGTGCCATTTTTCCTATTTTGTTTTTGGTAATGAACCCTTCCCTGTTGGCATCAGTAGCGTAAAACAGTAGCTGTGTTTCCATTGACTATAAAATTGCGCAAATTGGAAATACGAAAAAAAAAAATCCTTAACAGAAACATTTCAATTTAAAAGAAAAAAAAGTTTTTGATAACTTTTTGCACTAGCATGAAGTGGATTTTTGGCCTCATCAAAATTAGTGTCTTTAGCAAAACTGAAAAGGAGACACTTTTTATGCCTCAACCAGATGAAAAGATGAAGAAGGCGACAGGAAGCGGTAGAAAGATGATGGTATGGAATGTTTTTTAATGACTTACCTCGTGAACAAACATATTTGCTTATTATAATTGTCTCTTAACTGATGTTGACACCGCAATCTGAGAAATGATGTTTTTTTTTTTTTTTACATTAGCGGAATATCAAAAAAGTTCTGCACATGTTTGTAATGAAAACAAGTGCGCGATCATATAGGCAGAAAACCAGATCCTGAGAGAAGTATGGTAGTTACAGTCATGTGATCAACAACCAGCTGCTACTACTGATGGAGAAGACGAAGAAGACAACAGGAAGTGGTAGGAGGATGTTTGGCGCAGCATGTTTTTCAATGACTTATTGTGTGAATGAGCATATTGTGTGAATTTTTAGTTTCTTATTCGACGGAAACACCGCAATTTGTAAAATTGTGTCCTAAGCAAAATATCAACAAAGTTTTGCACACATTTGTAATGAAAACTAGTGTGTGCCCATTCAGACAGAACAAGATGGGTAAACAGATCCAGAGAAAAGCAGGGGAGTTAGAGATTGTTCTGAGCTTTGTTATTACCTCAGGTATGTGGTATGCCCCTACCTCTCCCCATCTGGTCTGCATTAGAGGCCTGATAATGATGGGTTTAAGTGTCTGTTTTTGTTTGTTTTGCTTCCCATAGTTTGTGTCAGGAAAAGGCATTTGTTTCATTTAAGGGTCAACTGCAGGCGGTAAATGGCTAATGATTGCAGTAATGGTCAGTCAGCGAGGCCGCCTCGTTAATTGTTTTTACTTTCTATCCAAGAGAGAGAGAGAGAGCGGAGAGGAAAACTGCTACTCGGAAGAAAGGTCGTCCTGTGTCATTATTTAAAATGAAAGATGCCCGTGTGCAGCGGCGAATGCAGTCCCCCCCGGCTGCTGTGTCGCTGTTTATTGGGGGATTTCTTGTGGCAACAGTCCCTGGACTAAACACACGAGGGGGAAACAAGCATCTAAAAGATTAAGTTACTAAATAAATTAAATTAAATGCTCTACAAAATGAACTTAGTAAAACAAAAAAAAACTAAACAGAAAAGGAAAAATGTGGGTTATTATAAGCTTGCTGTATAAAAGCATTAGAAAAACTAACATCAATCCAACATCAAACTTTTTTTTTTCACATGGTATACCAGCCAGTAGAATTATGCTCTTAGAATAAGGCTCAACATATTATGCATACCCTTCACATTTGGAAAAAATAAGTTCTACTGCAGCAGCATAATCCCACATCTGACAGATGTAGGAAAACCCCAAACTTTCATTTGACATTTTTTCAGTGAGTGAAAAAAAAAAAAAAAAAAGAAAATCACTGGTGACACAATTATTGTTCAGCCTAGCAATTTCTTCAAAATAAAGTTTTTTTCTTTTTTTTGTTTACATTTCGTATTTTACTTAGAAGACGAATAGGCAAAAGGATTATAGAAACTTATTTAAGCCTAGAAGAGCAATAATTAGGAAGTTTAACACAACTGGAACTGAGACACAGAAGGTTGTACAAGTTTAGTGTCTAAACTTATTTTGAGAAGGTTGTAAAAATTTTCAGTTGACATTTAAAATTTCTAAATAAAAGCACAGAGCAGGAAAAGTCAAATCTAGTTATCAACCAATTTTTTTGTTATTTTTATCATCTTATGCCTACTATTAGCTCCTTGGATATCCATCTTTTTACTTAAATATTCTGTATATCTTTTTGCTGAGATAATTTCACTGTCTTATTTTTTTACCTTAGGGATTAAATCTGAGTATTGAAAACGTGGAGTTGACTAACAACCAGGCCTCACTCTGTTGGGCCGAGTGGCTGTAACAGGGACAAACGAACATCTTACTTCGTACTTCGTACTGTGTGTGTGTGTCACAGGACGCAGACACACACACACACACACACACACGAACGTTGCAGGTTTAACTGTCCATTTTCCCAGAGATCACTTTAACGTAACAGCTGGATCCCACTCGCTGTGGGTCTACAAGTGTCCTGACACGAACTCACACTTCACCATCCTCTTTTGTCCCATTTCATTGGACTCGGCACACACTGAAGAAAGGGTGGCAGGTCTCAATCGCGCTCTGCTCCACTTCTCTTCCTCATCTTGGCACACGTCTTGCTGTTAACGCAGATCCACTGAAACGTCCCGTCATCGCTCACTCACTCGCGCCTAGCGGCCGGGAAGCTTTTTCGCAGGTATTCCCGACACGCCCTGTCCCTGAATCACACTCGGCGGAGGGGAGATTACAGCCTTTTGTCGCCTTGTCGGTTGACTCTGGCTGACGTGATATAAATTTGTGAAACAGGTGACCGGAGGAGAGAAGAGGAAGTATTGGGAGAGGGAAAACAATTTAGCTGCATTAGCAGAAGTGGGATAGGCCCTGTGAGGATGAAGAACATCAGGACAGCACTTCTATTTTGACAGAGAAACCGTACAGGTGACCACTGGGTGGGCATATTATTACAGTCCCATTAAAAGATGAGGAGCAGGACTTCCTGTGAAGAACAGTCATCAGTTAGAGCTAGCTGTCAGACACGACCGACTTACTCTGGAAGTCTTCCTATTGCCTTTTACAGGCCACAGCCTGCATTTTTCTCTCTCTCTCTCTTGAACAAACTCATCATTGCACTTGTCCATGCATTGAAGTGGGACAATTTGTTTCCATCTTTTGTTAAGATTAGTAGATAAAACAAGGCATCTGTCTCTTTAAGGAACTCCTGCTCTTTCTGAAGCTCCACATTTAGGAATTCATCACAGCACGGCTCCTCTATTAACAACTGAGACGTAGCTCCTTTAATGAGCTCAGCTGATGTGCAGTTCCACCAGATGTTTGCTAATTGCTGCTGACTAGTCTGAAGGAGCTGAGTGAGAAAGACACAGTTGGAAAGCTGCTCTGTGAGACGGTTTTCTTCATTTAATAATAACAATAAAAATAATTAATTATCTTTTATAATTAAAAGGTAACGGTGGTCCTTGGGCCTCTTGGTGTTTAAGGTAAAGCTACTGTATGAAACCGTGGGAGAAGGTTGAAAACTGTGTCTTGTTTCATTGCTGTTCCTGGAATGGAAATCTTAATTCATGCTTTGATTTCATCTCATCTGAATTATTGGAATGCATTTACAAATCTAAACAAATCTACTCTTGGCCAGTTGCTGATTTATTGCATTCTACAGGACTCGAGTGGTGGTGCCAATGTGTGACTTTGTAAAAACATAAAAATAAAATAAAATAAAATAAACATGTATTTGCTTCTAAAGTATTAATGAACTCAAATTATAATCAAATTATGCATTTTGTGGATTTAACAAGGAGTTAAATCCATGTATTTATATTATGTAATTTAACGGCCAGTAAACCCCCCAACACCCAAATTGCCTCACAATCCCAAAAATGCCCAGTAGAAGGGAAACAGGGCTGAAGATGATGCTTCGTTACCACGAAACAATCTGAGGCCAGCAGGGTCACACGGCAGATAAAGGCCTCTGGGAGCCATGTGCAACACATTAACCTCCAGTCCTGTGCCCATCTGTCTTTATCTGGCCCAGATAAGCTCACTTCATAGACTTCCAGTGTCATTAAATCATAACTGCGCTGTTTTGTGTCAAATTCAGTTCCCTCCTGGATTTCACTAAAACCATCCATCTGCCTCGCCCAGCCAGCTCCACTGCACTCTGTTTGGGCTTTATTGCCGGGGTAATTTGTGGGAAGTGAGATGCTGTGGCACTTGCAGTCTCCCCGGTCTTTATTGCAGCCTCCCACCGTGAACTACTGTTCCCCTTACTGCAGATGTGTTTTTTGTTTGGCTTAGGGGCCTCCAAGGTTTTGATATTTTTATTACCTCTCGCAGGTCGTCCGTCAGAAGCCGTGGCCCGGACCTGCCACCCGGCAGGACCTCCACCCCGGCCACACAGAAAATACGTCTGTGGGAAGCGCTGAGGATAGCTGTCTGGACGTCACACTGAGCTGCACTTCGGAGTAATTTAAAAGCCCCAACTGAATCCTTCCCCTCTTCCCTTGTGCTTTTCCCCCCCCTGTCATCCTCATCCTGGATTACATGCTGAATCAATATTTTGTTGCTTTAGCAAAATAAACCCCAATAACTGCTCGCCTCCTGTTTATGGCATACCAACTGAAATCCTGCGCCGTGTTTGTCTAGACACACATTCGGGGTGAGAAAATGGGAGCTCTGCAAATATTTCTAATTCGAGCGTTCATTTGTAAAAAGCCCTGGAAAGAATAATACCCCTTCGCTGGAGCAGGAGCCCACTATATCAGCCGTAGGTTCCCCTTGGCGTTGATTCATGAGGTTTGACTGAAAAATAGGAGCATTCCTATTTGCTCATGAAATCAAGAGAAAATACAGTTTCCAAATGAGGCAGAAAGTCTCTGAAGCAGGAGCTGTTATGTACAATGAATTATGGCACAAAAGCTGATGTGATCTCTTTGAGTGAGTGTGGCAGGGGCGGGGGAGTGCGAATTTGGGACTCTCACAAAAACACACGTCAGTGTGAGATGCTGCGACGTCTGCAGCATCCAAGTGTACGTACGAACAATTTCCTCCTATATTACTCTTAAAATATCAGTTAAAATTTCCGATTTTATTCGATGCACAAAGAGATTCCTCACAACAACAATTGCTATTTTTGAACATATTAACAAGGCCTATTGTGAGACTCTGTCTCAGAGTGTCTGTGGGTGGTTTGAGTCTAGAGTGACAGCCTCAGTCTGGCCCTTGGCCCCTAGTCCTGCCAACACTGTGTAACCAGCAGCTGATTTATGGCCCCTGGAGCCCCGCTGAGCCTCTTCCTCTTTGGGCCCTAATGTTTTCCAAGCAAGTAGGGCGAAAGCCAACACTCTCCTCTCCTCTGGCGCCATTTATTCATTTATTCCACTCCATGGGATTTAGATGACCACTGGGCACAACAATCAGTTAGCAGGTAGTTAAGTCTGAGCGCTCATTGATTATTCATTTTAGGAGCAGTGATGTCATGTCGTGTGTGAGCGAACAAGTTGTGGTTAAACAGGATTTAACTCATCTTTAGTGGTTGGCACCACTAACTAAAAGTTAGTTACATTAAAGCTCTAAAAACAAATATTAGTTCTGCTAACGCTAAACCGCTACACCAACCTGGTATTTAGCAGTAGCTAATGCTAAAGAGCTAACTTTAATTAAAATATCTGCCCTTGAAAGACTATAATCATCAGTCTCCAACTTCATTTTGAGATTATAATTTACATGTTCTACAATGTCCTTGGATATTTTGTTTGTTTATATTGTTTTCTTTACTGAGTTTTATTTTGTTCTTGTACATTTCTTGTTTGAAATAAAGTTATGAGGAGAAAAAAATAGAGAAAGAAAGGGAGACAGAATGTGAGGAGAGGAAAAAAGTAAAAAGTCTTCACTCTTTTCAAAATAAGAGCATGAATATAAATGTCCACTTGAAAAGTTCTTAACTGTCCAAACAGATGTTAATCTTTATTCAACTGAAAGTTTACAAACCAGCAAAGTAATTTAGTGCTTTATAATTCATCCAGAAAAGTTCAATTAGGGGAAACTAAGCACAGAAACGGTTCCAAGGAAGCAAAAGTGCTAAACGAAAAATAAGTTCCACTATTAGCGCACTAGCGAAAGTATGCTCACCCATGCTAATATATTAAAACAAGGACAAACTCTCTATGGACTTCAGTTTGTTTGTTTTGTTTTACTTCCTAGCATGGTTAGTATTACTGCAGCAAACTTAATATTCTGACCTTCCTCCAAACATTTCCACTTCAAAAATGTCACCTGACTCGGAGTTTGAAGGCTCAGTTGGATAAAACAATCCCACTGTGATCTGTTGGAAGTGTTGCTCTATTGCAGCAAAATACAGTTTCAATTTCCTTACATCTGCTTACGTCCTTGGATTAATTTTTTAAGGAACTCACTAAAACTGAAAGTAGCTAACACAAAGGTCTTCTTCCCACAGTAACAACTTCCACACTGAGGAGAGCTTTTGTTGGTACAACAAAATTGTTCCTGCTTGTCAGTCATTGTTTACGGTTGGAGGTGAGAAGTGGAAAATGTCCCGCTACTTGATGGTTTCTTTGTGCTTCTCTAATTCATAATATTAAAAAATAATTTAGCTAGCTGTAAGTAATGCATAAAGTTGATACTGAGACGCTGATGCTATACTGTGAATAAACAAGGATATCTATGATTAAAGACGAGAAGCTGAAGGCTCAGAAACTGATGAAGGGAATAAAAATAAATGTATAGATGGTAACTGCTAACTGTAAACGGTCAAAAATGATGAATAAAGGGATTGGATAAGTCAGAAAGTAGCAACACATCTTCAGGATCTCCAGAGCTGCAGCCTAAACAACAAACACGACCAGATCAGCCGGATAAGCCCCGAGCCTCCTAACCTGTATGTGGTTCTGGCCGTCCAGCATCCATGAAGAGAGCTGCTTCTCGCAGGAGCCCGATACGCCCCTCAGACTGCCGGGGTTAAAGGTCAGGCACATGATGGGCTCGGGGTGGGCTTTGACACGGCTCAGCTCGGACCTCTGGGTTACGTCCCACAGCAACAGGGAACCGTCCTCGTATCCAGCGAACAGGAGCGGTCCGAGACCCGAGTCAGGCTGCAAGAGAGGGGAGGAAGACGGGAGAGAGGGAGGAGGGACAGCAGGAACGGAGGGAGAGCGACGCAAGTTAAGACGTGAGATGAGAACGGGGGTTTAGAAAGCCATAAAAAAAGAAAAAAAAGAAAAAAAAAGAACTAGTGTAGTGCTGGGAGCTGAGAGGAGCAGAGGTTATCAGTCTGGAAGCTCCGGCTGACACTCAGAGACGTTGTGGCCTCCATTCGTCAGCCAGCTGCTCTCTGCAGCACAACAGTATCATTTTATCCATCATTTGACACTTTTTGTCGTCTATCAATGCACAAAATGCAATTAGTATTTTAATCTGCCCTAGTCGGACTAAGATTTTGACATGGTAGACCTTCAAATTTGGATGTTTTTTTTGTGTGTGTGGGGGGGGGATTTTATGTCTTAAGGTTGTAAAATAATGTTTCTTTTTTTAAATTGAATCCCAAAAAACTTACAACTATGACTACAGCAAAAGATTGATCTCATGCCACACATTTCAGATTTTAATTACAAAGAAATGGCCAATTTTGTGCTTGTCTGTGGCATAATGTCAAAAATATTTAAAAGACATGGGCGCCTTTTAATACTCCCTGTAGGAGTGAGCGATATGGACTTAAAGTTGTATCATAACATTTTGCGACTTCATGGCTTCATTAGAGTAATCATAGTCTCACAAAAGCTGCTCTTGAAAAACATCCCTACTTGTAACACCAGTCAGAAGTATATTTTTTATCACTGAAATGCACTATAAGAACATTTAATGATATTTTCAAATCTATTCACACACCTTTGTGGGGAGGAAAATAGGAAAAACAACAATCTTGATCATGTGGACAGCTTCAGCTTTTTTTAAAAAACATAGTTATTTGGAATTCATCGTGACAATGTTAAATCAAAATCACGATAAGGAATTTATCATGATAAATAATAAACGATACGATAAATGCCCACTCCTTATTCCCTGGACAGTATATGACCTACAGGAGAACAAGAATGAAGCACAACATGTATTTCTATTAAAAGGGTAAATCTTGTGCAGTTATAAGCACATGGTAGAGTTGAGATGTTATCTAATATAAGTAAATAATAAAGAGTAATTCAACTGACACTGGGAGGAAAAGACTGAAACAGAAAGAGTGAAAAGAGGTTTAGGATTCATTGTAACACCGTCGTCTTTTTCTTGAGGTCCCAGTTTCTTATGAATAAACAGAAAATAAAATAAAAACACAATTTCTTATGTTAAGTTTGAACACACCACAGCAAACACACACCTGGTCGGGCAAAGCCTTGAACTTTGTCGAGCCTTATGAAAGGTCAGCGCTAGATCAGGACTTCAGATGATCGAGGAATAAACTCAGATACTCGGCGCTGCACTGGCTCTACCTTTTGCTTTTAAAATAACACCAGGCCTTAAGAAGAAGATGAAGAAAAAAAAAAACGCAGTACCACGCAGAAGCCAGGAGGGAAAAAAATTTTTTCCATATGTGCACGGAGACCACGTCAGCCATTTTTCATCCATGTTCAAGTCCTCTCCTCTGTTATCGCTCCATATTTCTCCTCTTCCAGCTTGAAACAAATTATAGACAGAGTCGTGTACTCCTTCCAAACACATCAGCGGAGGACGAACACGGAGGGATTATGAAAACAAATAAAAACAAGTGAAAATCAGTGGCCCCCCGTCCCCTGCTTGCCGGCAGGGACCGGGCCAAGCGATCCAGATTGGGGGCCCAGCGTTTCACTTAAGCGAAGGACCTCCTTGATTGATGATGTCATGGGTCGGAGGTCGGGGAACCCTGGGTAGACACCTAATTCATTATATCCTCCACAGGCCTTTCTACAAGAGGGCTCTCTCTGCTGGAGTGGGGCTGGGGCACTGGGTGGAGATTCATCACAGGAGAACAGCTGCAAAGAAGAGAAGACGGACCAGAGGACGGCAGCGTGCCGGGGAAACAGAAGTGGTGCAGATTTTACCCAGTGTTTCACTGGTTAAAATGAAATTGGATTACAACTCTTACAACAAGATTAAGAAACTGCTGGTTTCTTTTACATTAAAAAGAAATGTCTGAACTGTCAACTCAGTGGGAATGTTTGAAGTATTATAATCGTTAGTTGCTCTGACAGGTTAATCGGATAAGAAAAATTAGCACATTCTACAGATTTTTCATCTGACCACTTAAGTCTTTTTAATTGTATATTACCAAATGCAAATGAACAAATACAACAGTTCATTTCATTTCACTTCATAAACTGCAATGACAGCGTAACGTCATTGAATTTGAGCAGGGCGAAGCTAAAGCTGTGCCACGTTTTTATCTTAAGTGCAAAGTGTCTACGTATTTTGTAAAGTTTTGGCTTAATTAATGCTTTGAGTGTTGTTTTGACATATCCTGTCACTCAAAGTGATGCTAAGACATAAAACTAATCTTCTTGTTCAGCTTTTAATCAGACACCTCAATGTTCTGGGATAAAAAAAACAGGCCAGTGTACGGGACTGATCACCACTTTATCCATGTTTCCCTCTTGGCGTGACGTGTCTTTGGTGATGGCCAGTGTCGGTTGTGCCAAACATGTCTTTCAGAATTGAGGCGCAAAAGTTTAAGTCTGGTTTCTTCAGATCATAACATTACTTTTCCTAACCCTAACCATCACATACCTAACCCTAACCCTATCCAACACTCAATTCATACCTTAGCCCTAACTCTGACCCCTGACCCAAAAATAGGGTTTCCCCTTGTGGGTACCAGGCTCTGGTCCCCACAAGGAGCAATTGGTCCCCACAACGTAGTATATGTCAGGAAAATCATCCCCACAAGGTATTACGCACAAACGCACGCACACACGCACACACAGCTAGAGAAAGATGCTGTTCTCTCCTCTGACAGTATTTGGTTCTGGTTCTATTTGAGTCATTATAGCAGGGAAGGAATCCCTGATAAACGAACTTCTTTTAATTATTTTTGTCCCTCTCATTTAACCCTGTTTAATGGCTCTGAGAAAACAATCCTTCAGTTAACTGAATAAACAAACAGTATATTTTGTGCCACAGAGCTCTCCATAAAACTTTAACGGAGCTTAGCCTTTACTGTCACCCTGGCATGTTTTTGCACACTGAATAAATGTGTGAATTTGTCTATCTGCTTATGAAGTACAGATTATAGAGCAACATCCACCTTAAAAGGAGAAAACATCTGAAATGTCTTTATGTAAAGGTGAAATTTGACCACACAACAGCTTATAAACGTATCGGTTTCTCACTAAATAATTTCTGTTTCATTTACTTACTGTAGCCAACTACTGTTTTCTTTGTTTATGCACTAATATTCTTTCTGTGCAGTGGAGTTATTTTATTGTTCATAATTTGAAAGAAAGAAAAAAAACATTTCCAAAAAATTATATGAGGTAGTCAATAGTAACAATTAACATTATAATAGGTATTTCATACTTCTCCAGCTCTATTGGGACTTTTGATAGGCTATTTATTTACACCTCACAGGATTTAAAAAGTAGAAATTAATAAAACCAAAAGAAAAAAAAAGTAATGATAAACCTTGATGTAAATTGAATAAAACATGATATGAGGTAAGTAAAGAGATCTCAGTCATGATCACATTTTAAAGATTTGATCACCTAGGAAAGGGATAGCTGGATGAAAGATAAGTTGTAAGGAGTTTTGTTCTGATAAACATTAACATTTTTTTAAAATTTAAAGCGATTAAAAAGGTTGGCTGCAGAAGGTGACACAAGCAAATGCTGGATGGAATAAAAATATGCTAATATGAAGGTAATTATGTTTTTTATTTCTTAAATCTAAGGAGAACCAGAAATGTATTTTTTAGGTCCAAGTGAAAACGTAGTTCACTTTAACCCATGAACAAGCCTGAGTTGTTGATGTCGCGGCGCAGGCCTCGGGCGGGAGCTGCTTCCACATAAGGAACCAATCGTTTCCTGTGGTCGTCGTTCAGCTCCCGCCACCATGTGATGGCCACGAGGCAGCGAGGTGATGAGCTCAGAGTGATGGATATCTGTAAAAGGAACATTTCCTTTTTCCCAGCCGGCCTGCGCTCACATCAGAAGCCTCGCACGTCGTACATCACCACCGTCCCCGCGGCCAGGGCCCGGCGTCCTCGCGCCAGTCAAAGCCACATGTGGAGCCACTTTTGATTGTTCGCTCCATCAAAGCCGATTCTCCTGAGTCGCAGCCGATCAGATGGGGAGGGATAAAACAGCATACACCTCAATTTTTAAGATTGAGTCCATTCCCTGGAGTTCTTTCGCATTTTGTGGACTTTAATGAGTCTTACTGGGTTTTTAGGTAACAAAGCATATTAATAGCGGTGAGAGTAATTGATGTACATGGATGCTGCATGTACATGGATGCTGCACCACATATGGTTTACATACCGATCACTGATCTTCAGAAATGCTGACCTGCTGATAACGATTTTTTTGTCTGAAAAAACAAAAAAATTGCTAAGGTGAGACTACTGTTAACCACTGATGTGCAGATGTGGTGGAAGGGTCTGTCTGTCTGTCTGTCTGTCTGTCTGTCCTCTCCCACAGCAGAGCAACGGGCTTTTTCAAAGGCCTTAAGCTGGATATTGTTTTTTTTTATGAAATTATCGGCCGATTGGTGATTTCCCAAAATTAAGGAAATCGGGGCCAACTTACCAGTGTAACCCTAGATTAAAGCATAGTCTTGTGTTGGAATGTCCTAATCAAAGGCCAATCTAAATCTAATTGGGAATGTCTGGAAAGACTTGACATGTAATCTGCTTCCAATGAGACTGATCTGCAAACAAACAGTCAAAAATGTAAGAGTCTGGACTCTGCATATGGGCTGATGTGAGCAAATACTTTATGTTATAGAAACTTCTGCCAGATTTGATTTATTAAAGTATTTCCCTGGGCAGGTGGGAGGGGCTAAAATATTGTAAAATGCTCACCTTTTAGATTTTTGTAGATCTTGAAAATGACATGGGGAAATACACATTTTCCTTCAACATTTAGTGCACAATTATGCACTAAATGTGCATAATTTAGTAGTATCATATTAATACTCCTAATATAAT